GGCTCACAGCATGTTAAAACAATATACAAAATTACCCCTTCTAAAAACCAATTAAAATCCAAATATTAGTGGCTGTGACTATTTAAAATCATTAAAAATTATCCCTATTTAAAATTCACCCTAGGTCAGGCCCGCTTGTTGAAAAAGCCATGTCTTGAGGGCGCGGCGGAAGGTTAGGAGATCCGGAATCGTCCGGATCATCTTACCTACATTTATTTAGCATATTTCAAATGATCACATTTTAGCATTATAAAACAACTCAGTAGTGCAAACCTGATGACAGAGATCAATCCTGTTATTCCATGTAATGGATGAAAAACTGTCTGATTTACATAGTTATTTGAAAGGTAGATGTCTGGGGAAAAAATATAAATAAGTTCACAGCCTTGCTTATTAGTCGTTGTGCTGAACCATCCCTTCATCTCAGAGCTGGCATTAGCAGATCTTTCTTAATGAAACAAAACTAAATCAGTGTTATAGAATGTTTTCCTCAAATAGAAAAATAATTGGTTTGAGGTTGCTTAAATGAAGCTGCTCCTAAAATCAGCTTCAAAGTTCTGTAGATTCTGTGTGGGTGAATATCATCTGAGTCATGATTGCGAATTCTGATTTTTATAAGAGAGTGAGTTTGTTATGAAACCTAATAGCTTAAAAACAGCACCAATTTTAAAGAAACATTGTTCTAGAAACTTCCTACTGTCATGACTCAGAGAAAATTTGTGAGAAGTTATAGGTAGGCAGGAAAAGAAACAAAGAGAAAGACATAATCAAGAGTCAGAATGCTTCCATTATTTTCTCAATCTCCTCACAATCTTTTACTGGATATTAAACTTCACGTCTCTTATACTGACCATGGATGAATCAGCCTAGTTTCAGGCCAGGTAATATTCAGTGAACCAAATCATTGGGATAGAAGGTTCATTCATTTACCTTTGGACATCATTATCATATACCACTCACCCATTGGCTAGCCTGCCATATCTTGGCAGCAAAGATCCAGATGAACATTATATGGAATCAAAAATATGTTTATTTTTGCCTTCTGTTGATATTTCAGAGTTGGACAGCTGAAATAGAGTAGGCCTATTCACTAGAAGGAAATCTTCATGGATCATCTATATCAGTGGTGGCGAACCTATGGCACGGGTGCCAGAGGTGGCATTCAGAGCCCTCTCTGTGGGCACACGCGCTGTCACCCCAGTCCTAGGCCTTCAGCTGGGTTTTACAAAACCTTTTCGCTTTAGGCCTCCACCGCCGTGTACAAAAAAAAAAAGATTCAGTCGGTCAATTTCAACTTCTTGCGGGAAAAAAAAAGATCTTGCAAAGTTGGAATTGATTGATTTAACTTTTTAGTCCCACCCAGTCTGCCATTACCACCGCAGCCACATCCACCCAAAGGGCCACACCCACCCGGCACCCAACGATGCATAAGTGGGTTTTGGGTTGCAGTTTGGGCACTCGGTCTCTAAAAGGTTCGCCATCACTGATCTATATCTATTATCTTGCAACTCAGGAGGATCCCAATTTGGTCTCTTAATCCAATACCAACAGCATTTCAAACAAACTTGCCAAAAATTTGAGCACATCTACTCAGTCCTAATTGGGCTATGCACAACAGTTTGTGATTAGGCTTTCTGTTTTTGCCTTTCTGTTGCAACACAGTATTCTCTGAAAGGCAACAGTGTCCATGAGGGAAGAGCATTGTGGAACTGTAACATAAATCCTACCCTTTTTTTATATGTGACATATAAATGATATCTGATCATAAGGTCAAATATTAATGCTGGAAATATTTTCATACTTTCTATTAAAAAATTGTCTAGGATAACCATGATGCAGCATTTGGGTTATATGATGTATAGTGTGGATTGCATAGATACATTGGTAGAAAGCTTTTTTGGGAAAAAACAACTTAGACTTGATGGATACTTTTCTGTAATATTATACTTATAACACAATATATTTTAATAAAGATTTTTCTTAAATTAAAAAAGTTTTTTAGGGATGAGTAAAATGTTAATAATGTTAACATATATTAAAATCACCTCATGTTTATCTTTTCTCTTAATCCTTAAAATGTAGACATGGGATCCAGAGTTGGAAAGATCTGCTAAGTCCTGGGCTGAGACATGTCTTTGGGAACATGGACCTGCAAGTCTTCTTCCATCCATTGGTCAGAATTTGGGAGCACATTGGGGAAGGTAAAAAAAAAAAAATGCTACTCTTTCTTTAAAAGTGAAAAAAACATTTTTTCTTTTGGTAATAGATACTTGAATGATTTGGCAATTTTTTTTGTTTATTCATTATAGGTATAGACCTCTAACATTTCATGTCCAATCATGGTATGATGAAGTGAGAGACTTTACTTATCCATATCCTCAAGAATGCAATCCTTATTGTCCCTATAGATGTTCTGGTCCTGTATGTACTCATTATACTCAGGTGAGCGAATGAGAATAGAATAGAGTTGGAAGGGACCTTGGGGGTCTTCTAGTCCAGCCTCCTGGTCAAGTAGGAGAACCTATACCATTTTAGACAAATGACTGTCTAGTCTCTTTTAAAAACCTCCAGTGATGGAGCGCCCATGATTTCTAAAGGCAAGCTGTTTCACTGGTTAATTGTCCTCACTGTTAGGAAGTTTCTCCTTAATTCCAGGTTGCTTCTCTCTTTGTTTAGTTTCCAACCATTGTTAGAGTGTGCTTTTTAAAAAATGAATAATAGGATTGAATTCATCAGTTTGTGTTGGAATGGTAGAAATCAAGAGATAAATAATAGGAAAATATGTAAGTCACTTGAAGTTGTATCTGTGTTTAAAAATGTTTTCCCATTTTTTAAAAATAGCTTGCAGCAATGTATTATCTATTCTTTATTTCTATATGTTACCATTGCAAATATTTTTAAGAACACATTTTGATATGAATTTCTTGGAATATATCAGGATATCTATATTAATTTGGTTGATGAATGAACTGATTAACTTACAGATTGGGTTATTTTCTGAAATGAATTAATTAACCCTAGGATAAAGCTTACATGTTCATTTGTGGACTCGGAGCAAAATACATCTTTAACAATTTTTCTAAAGAAAACTGGCGTGGTTCTAAAGTTATTCACACAATACATACTTCTCATCCCTAAATCTGATTAACAATTTAATATTGCATTAATTCCATATTTACCAAAAGTAATAATAATTTAAACTGGAATTAATATAATTAAAATATGTATTTTAATTAAAAATTATTTTTCAAATTTATAATTCCTTCTATTTTAATAATAAAAGTTCTCATTTAGCAACTGCCTTATTTAGTGACTGTTCACACTTATAAGAATGATGAAAAAATAACTTTACGATCAATCCTCACATTTATATTTGGTGCTGGATTATGTCAGTGAGTTTTAATGGAGATCCTTATATTAAACTTGTTTTCTCTTTATGAAATAAGAACATAGGTATTACAACATTTATCTATTAAATCCAATTTGAATCCTTTTTATATTTATACCTCCATTTATATTTAAACAGATTTCCCCCTTTCATCTCTTCAAATAGTAAAAGTCCAGTTCATGTCAAAAAGCAATTAAACATTATCAGAAATAGCCATCATTCCCAGTCTCAATCAGAAAATAATTAAGCATCTCCAGAAATAGAAACTCATTATTTTAACCATGATCAAATAAAATTTATTTTGTATTATTTCTTCTTTCTTCTAATGATCTTTAAATCCCCCCCCCCAAAAAAAGTTCTAATATCTGCTTTGTTATACTCTCATTGTCTATTCTTGCAGAATTGTTGTCATCCTTGTCAGGCCCCATTTGTAATTTTGCAACTTCAGCAAATCCTATTTATAAATCAAATACAAAACATTTATCCACATTCGCTTTTCAAATTTATTACTTGTATTTTTTAAAATTTTTAAAGTTTCATTTAATTTCATTTCTGAATCCATTATTTCCTTTTCTTGGTTGCAGTCTATAATGTTTAAATCTACCTGTAAATCAGTTTCAGTTTTATTCAGTGATGCCTATTCATATTCAATAATACCTGATTGTATTATAGATTTAAATGCTGGAAGACTTCCTATACCCAAGCATCAAACATTTCTTGTAAGGTGCCCTCTAAGGTGTGACCTTCAAACTTGTCCTATCGGTTTCAAAATATAAACAGAATTATTTCCCATGAGAAAGGATTCTTTCAATTAGTTTCAAACTTTTAAATCAAGTCCATCTGAGCCCTTAATCCATTTAAAGCTTTCTAAAGCCAACAATAATCATACTTTTTCTGTATATTCCAAAACCTTTTATTATAAATATTTAAACTTGTGGTTAAATATTTTTAAAGGATTTAAGGAAACTCACCCAATATTTTCAATAATGCTTGCCAATCTGAAAGTGTAAGAAAATGCATGGATAACCTTAAGGAAAAGGAAGAACAGATACTGCCTAGGAAACAATCAGATAAGAGAGATAGAAGACGGTAATCATTTAATAGTCAAAGAAAGAAACTTAGGAAGGAACTACCCTAATAAATATAGCAGTTAAAAATAGTAGGTGGAAAATTTGTACTTTCAGACTTATACGATTCTGCTAATGTAACCATACAGTAAAGAAGATTTAGCTCATCTAGTTGTGTTTCCTGTCTGGTTTACCTGGGAAGGTCAATGTAAGCATCTCAATTTTTAAAAACCAAACAGTAAAAGGAAAAAAAATAAATTCAAAATGATTAAGAGGTGATCCTTGTTTGAAGTCCATGTAGGTGACATTAATGGCTATAAGCACAATGAAATCCATGTCTCCAGCCAATTTCCAGCTTACCACAAAAAATACAGTTTCTGCCATTAGCTGGCAAAACACAGTTGTGCATAGTTCATGTTGGTAATTTTGTTACTATGGACAGATTTCGGTAACAGTTTTCAGGTGCAATATGTTCCTTTTTGCCAAAGGCGTATCAGTTCACTATGATGGCTCATCAGAACTCAAATTTGGATAAAGTTTTAAAACTTTTTCTTTTTTTTCTTCCAGGTGGTATGGGCAACAAGTAACAGAATAGGCTGTGCAGTCAACCTGTGTCATAATATGAATGTGTGGGGACAGATATGGCCAAAAGCAATTTACTTAGTGTGCAATTATTCACCCAAGTAAGTATGATGGTACAGATGTTAACATAAAAGGCCTATCTAACTCCTCACTACCACTTCTTAATAAAATTATTTAGGATTGTGTTTTGCTTTAGACTAGAATCATGATAGGAAATCAATGTTTTGCTTGGAACTGCACCAGAATTGGCCATAAAATATGTAATTATCTTGAAATATAAATTGTAAAAGATATGAAATAATATTGGTGATGGGAAGAAGAAATCTGCCTTCTGCTTTCTGCAAAGTATCTTTTGGTCTTTCTAAAAGAGTTTTTAACACAGAGTAATGCTAGATATTTTGAATTTTCAGAATGCTAGCCAATATAAACCAGTATAAACCAAAGCACAATATTCAGAGTTTTCACTGTAATCTGCAAAGCTAGCAGATAATAATAGAAGAGAATTGATTGGCCAGAGATCATATAAATTAGGTCTTTACATTCAGTGACATACTGCTGGTTTTCAAATAATATAGTCAAAACAATCCAATTTTTTTTATACCAGTACAAGCACACATAAGCCTNATTGTATCAATGGAATTATACCTTGTACCAGTTAACACTGCCTTAGTCAGTGACCATTCAGACTGACAATGTTGGTAACAAGTAGACTTACAGTACATCCAATCCTCAAACTTAAAGCTATTGCAGTCTCCAGGAGAAGCAGAGGAAGCACTAAATTGCAGAAACAGCTTGCGTTCACGTTCAAGGGATGCCAGAATGAAAGCCTAAACTAAAAATGATGGGCAGTAGTTTATACTGTCATATAAACTTTTCAGTCATATGCTTCCCTTGTGTCTTTTTGCATGCAGCTTTTATCTTAATGGACAAGCCTTTCCAAACTGCATCTCGGCAAACTTTCTTATCTTTCATCATCCCACTTTTTCTTCCCTTGTAAACCAATTGCTGAAGGTACCCTGGCAGAAGTCCCCTGCCAAGCCAGGCTAAGGATAAGTGAATGAGTGGGCTTGCCTTCCTCAAGGCTCTGTCTTGAGAACGACTGATATCAATTCATGCTAGTTGCATGAAGAAATTCCAACCTTTAAGAATATAGAAAAGATAAATGGGATACAATATGAGATGATATTGTTTATATCATTCACTTAGGCTGTCCTTCTATGCCTCAGAAGCAGAGGCTTGACAAATCAACAGAAATAGTGTTTCTCACAGGGATCAGGGACTCCATTTATTTCACTGTATCATTTTGTTTTTTATTCTTAGGGGCAATTGGTGGGGCCATGCCCCATACAAACATGGTCGCCCATGTTCTGAATGTCCCCCAAGTTTTGGGGGAGGCTGTAGAGAAAATCTTTGTTATAAAGGTATGTATTCTGAAAATTAATGTGTGTATACTGATGAGTATGTAGTTCTGCTGATGCTTTAGGAGACAAGCAGTTGTTTTCTGATTTCATAATGAAACTTATGTGCTATATAAGGGTTCTATAATGGTTCTTTTTTCATATGAAGAGGAGCTTTGGGCATAAAAATACAATTAAATATGTTTTCATAAGCATGTATTTATTTATAAGATCCTGAATCACCAACACAGTGAGTTCAGTAATCAGCATATGAATTCTTCTAATAGTAAAAATTACAGTACCTGTTAATCAAATGCAAATCTTTCATTCAGTTAAATGGATTCCTGTTTTGTCAGTGTGGCATGAATCTAGTAATTTAAACATAAATGCTTTTGTAAACAATTTTGCAACATATCTCTATAATTCCATCTTGTCAGAACCTCCACGATGCATGTAAATTCATTAAGAAACCTCTTAGGATTTTCTTTCTGAATGTAGCCAAAGTCCATTTCACAAATTAAGGA